CCAACAAGTGTAAAGACATACCCACTAGTGGATTTCGAGTCTCTAATATCCGATATCCAGTTTGCATCACAGTATCCTTCAAGTACTGCTGGATATCTTGTATAATTAAGCCCAATGTTACGAGTAAATCGGAGATATGTTAGAACCCTTATAATTTCTTTCCAGTGTTCTACTCCTGGGTTACTTGTATATCTACTTAATTTACTTACTGCATAAGCTATATCCGGGCGAGTGCAGTTCATCAAGTACATTAAGCTTCCAATAATTTGGGCAAACTCTAATTGAGAAATACTTTCCTGTACATTCTTAGAAAGATACAAATTAACATCTACAGGTGTTCTAGCAAGATGATCATCATCTTTGTTGAATTTGTCAAGTATTTTCTCAATGTAATGAGATTGTGACAAAGCATATCCTTCTGATGTTTTGGTAATTTTCATACCAAGAATTACATCAGCAATGCCCATGTCCTTCATGTCAAAATGTTTATTCAACATTTTCTTAGTAGTTTTAATCATATTATTATTACTACCTATGATGAGTATATCATCTACATAAAGACATACAATGACATAACTTTTATCTATATTTTTAATATAAACACATTTGTCACACTCATTAATTTTAAATCCATTTGACATCATTGCCTTGTCAAATTTCTCATACCATTGCTTTGGCTCTTGTTTTAAACCATATAATAATTTAACCAATTTACACACTTTCTTTTCTTTTCCTGGAACTAAAAAACCTTCTGGTTGTTCTATATAAATTTCTTCATCTAACTCACCATTTAAGAAAGCGGTTTTCACATCCATTTGATGAATTTCTAGATTGTATAGAGATGCAATGGCAATTAGCATTCTAATGGATGTTATTCTAGTAACCGGTGAGTATATGTCAAAATAATCAAGACCTTCTTTTTGTCTAAAACCTTTGACCACAAGTCTTGCCTTATATTTGTCAATTGATCTATCCGCTTTCATTTTTCTTTTGAAGATCCACTTGTACCTAAGAGGTTTACAACCTGGTAGCAAATTTACCAATTCTCAAGTGTGATTTTGCAAGATGGATTCAACTTCACTATTGACAACTTCTTTCCATAAAGAAGCTTCAGGACTGGACATAGCCTCTTTAAAAGTTAAAGGCTCATTTTCTAACAAAAATGTTAGGAAATCTGGACTAAAAGATTTTAAGATTCTAGCACGTTTACCACACTTAGGTTCCGCTTCCTCATTTTGATTTAACACTTGCTCTTGTTCTTGATCATGTTCTTGATCCTGACTAGTAATAGCATCATGAGATCTTTTATTGTTACTAGTCTCTTGTCCAGTCTTATTTGAAAATACATATTCAAAGAATGATGCATTCCGAGACTCAATAATAGTATTTACATGCATTTCGGTATGTTGTGATTTATGAATCAAAAACCGATATGCACTACTATTCTTGGTGTAACCGATGAAAATACAATCAATGATCTTGGGACCTATCTTAGTCTTTTTAGGACTAGGAATAGCCACTTTAGCTAAACACCCCCACACTTTTAAGTATTTGGAGGATGGTACTCTTCCATGCCACAATTCATAAGGTGTTTGATTCATTTTCTTTCGGGGTACTTTATTAAGTATATAATTAGTAGAAAGTATTGCTTCCCCCCACAAGTTCTGAGGTAATCAAGAACTTATTAACATGGCATTCATCATTTCTTTTAAAGTCTTATTTTTCCTTTCAGCAATTCCATTTTGCTGAGGTGAGTAAGGAGCAGTGATTTGATGAATTATTCCATGTTCTTTACAAAATTCACCAAAAGGTGATTCATATTTACCACCTCTATCACTTCTAAGTTTCTTGATTTTCTTACCAAGTTGATTTTCAACTTCATTCTTATATTGAATGAAAGTTTCCAAAGTTTCATCATTGGTTCAAATTAAATAAACATAACTATATCTAGTATAGTCGTCTATAAAAGTGATAAAATATTTTTTTCCCACCTCTGGTTTGAATTGATTTAAAATCACAAATGTTATTATGAATTAATTCAAGTGGTTCCGTACTTCTTTCAATTGAACGAAAAGGAGTTTTAGATAATTTTGTCTCAACACAAATTTCACATTTATGATTTGAATCAATGTCAAATGTAGGTAAACATTCCATATTAATTAATCTACGTAAAGATCCATAATTAGCATGTCCTAGTCTACCATGCCATAAATTTGAAGACCCAAGCAAGTAAGAAGAAGATGTTATTTTATTAATAACTGAGGGTACAACGGTCATTACATTCATCTTCAAAAGGCCATCAGACATGTAACATTTTCCTACATACACCTCGTTTTTGATACGTACAAACTTGTCACTTTCAAAAACTAGCTTAAACCCATTCTTACTCAACAAAGATCCGAAAACAAGATTCTTGTGAATGTCCGGTACATGCAACACATTATTGAGCGTGAGTTCCTTTTCAAATGTCATTTTCAGAATAATCTTTCCTCATCCTTCAACTTTAGAAGTCGATGAGTTGCCCATAAAAAGTTATTCACCATTATCCATTGTAGAATAAGATGTGAACATTTTTTTGTCGGCACAGATATGGCGAGTAGCACCAGTGTCCACTCACTATTCTTTAGCAAGATTTGGCTCGGAAACAACTGTAGAAAGATTTATGACATCTACACCATTGGAAATTTTATCAATTTCGGTCATTTTGGCTTTAGCAACCTTCTTACTTGATCTTCCTTTGTCTTTACGTTTGTAACGGCAATCTTTGACCCGATGTCCCTCTTTGTTACAAATCTAACACATGCCATAAAACTTGTACTTCTTAGTTCCCCCTCCCCTTTAGATAGCATTTTCTTCTGCCATCTTTTAAAAACAGTTCCGAAGAACTTCTCTGATTTTTCACCATGATTCACCGGCACAGTCTCAACATAAGGAGGGGTTGGTGTGATGGCAATCACCATACCAGTACTGGTTTGGGCATTAGTTTCAATAGCCATCAATTCTAAATTATAAAACAAAATTATAATTAGAATTCATACTACACAGAAAATTAATCCAAATTTACAGAATTAAATTCTGTAAAAATAAAAGAAACAAGAATGTAACTTTTATTTTTTAATTAATTTAGAAATAAAATAAAATAAAATTTTATTTAACGAGATTAATTCTTCAATTAATTTGGAAATAAAATAAAATAAAATATTATTTAACCAAATTAATTCCACACAAAAAATTAATTTCTGTAACACTTCAATAATTAAAATACTGAAATAGAATTTTAATTAATGAAAACTCAGAAAATAATTAAGAAAACCAAAATTAATTTCGGACAAAATTCCACAAAAATATATTCTGAATTGTTAATGACACCAGTATATTACTACTAGTTGTCAAAGAAAATAGACAGTATATTACTACTATCTGTCAAATAGCATATAATCGCTATTTGTTTTTCCAACCAGAATATTATTTTGTAAATCCACAGAAAATAATTTTCTTAAAAGAAGAAAGAGAAAAGGAAACAAACGAAAAATTCTGTAAACAGAATAATTCGAATCTGTCTTAAGATTGTTAAAACAATCTTTTGTGTAAATAAAATAAATTGAAACTAATTCAAACAAAATAAAATAAAACTTACAGAGTTTATTTTGTTGAACCAAATAAAAATTAAAAGACCAAGTCGAGTGTGTGACACTCTGTCCTTAAGACAGATTCGCCCCGCTACGGTGCTTACCGTTGAGTGGCGTCTATCTCCCAAGATACAATGATCTTAACCAATTTGTAGTAGCACTCCAAAACAAATTGTTCGGCGAACCAAACCAGTGTTCTAACTCTCTGAATATTTATTATAAAATTAATATGGAGAATAATGCACCAAAGATAATAATTGGACAGCAAAAAGTATTTTACAGACTGATTTTTTGAATGTCAAAGACTGCTGGAACAGCCAAGTATTTATAGGCACAAAATGTTGTCCGAACAGGTATAAAGACAACGTGCATTTTCAAACTGTACAGGTATAGTTTGAATTTCAAACAGATCCGGCACTGTTTGAACAAATAACTGCAGCAGTTATTTATCTGTTAAGAAACTGCTCAAAACCAAATCTGTAATGGACTTTTCGAACCAGTTTTGTCATGGACTGAATAAGGAAAGAATTTAGGACACAAATTAAATTCAAATTTGAATTTAATTAATTTTCCCGTAATTAATTTAGAAAAAATTCAAAAGAATTTTTGTCCAAAAAATTAACACAAGAATCGACCCCCACACCCGGCACGGCCAGTCGGCGGCGACACGCATGCGGTGGTTTGGGCTAAGGTACACTTTGTCCATAACTCCTCCCTTCTACAAAGTTGGGTTGCCCCTTAGGGCCCAACTCAAGTGTTGTAGGCTAGAGCTTTTATACTTAATAAAACTCTCTTAAAGTTTCAATGTGGGACAAGCCTCACAAGGAAACCTACATTAAAAACTTTAAATGTCCATTCCACGAACCCGAAAACGACGTCGTGTTCCCATTCACTCATAAATGGTTTTGACGAACCGTCTTCACCGTGTGACTTGTCACGCGGCAAGGAACACTTCACCTCTTTGGACCTGTCCCAAAAGACGTTCGGGACCCACTCAATTTTGGACTCAAAGTCGGCCCAAAATAAGCCTATATAAACTATTTTTTCCAACAATATTAACTATAGCGGAGCGGAGTGAATTCAAAGGCGGATTATAAATTTTGAAGTTTAAACCACGATTAGCGGATAGAGCAGCGATGCGGATCGGTGCAGTTTTAACGGATCGGGTGGTATTTTACACCGCCTTAATTATGATTCATAATGACAAAAATATTATTGTCACATTATTTTGTGTTTTTTTTAAAAAAAATTTATATGTTTAGCATTTATTTTTTATTTTTTATTTTTTTTTAATAGCAGCTACCTTAGACACTGCAAAATTTATCAAAACCCACATCACTGCCATGCTCCCGTCTACATGCACACTACCCAAAAAAAACTTCATAGTTAAACTAATCAAACTTCACAAGCATTCGGCATATGCAAAATGAGGGGCATAGGCTATTTGTAACAGGTGCATCACGTATTTCAGTTTCTTATATTGGCTCATACAGCACCCAAATCTTTCTTTTCTAAATCCAATTCAAATAGCTTATTCATCCCTTAGAAAACCATAAACTGCTCATGCCATGCTGCTGCTCATCAATGGATAACAGGCTTTAGAGGATGAGCTCTTAGTTTTGACAATTCAAGGTTGGCATCCAGTTCTTCATCAAGTTCCCCCACAATGCTTCTGCAAATGGAGAAATCAACAACAATGAAATCCAATTTTGCAGTAACAGAGATGAGTATAGTAATAGTACCATCGAAATAACAGGAGTTGCAATATAACCCTTACATGTTGTCACCTCTTATGATGTATAGGCCTAACACAAGTTGCTGAACACCTTCCTGCAAAACAGAGTAATCATCAACATTATTCCTATAATTACTTTCCGGAGCAATGAGAATTTCTGGATGATGAAAATCAAAATAACATAAAATGCATTTATTGTCTACTCATTAAGAGGAGAATGGGATATCAACTTTCTTCATTGTACACTCAACCAAATGGATTAAGCCATGTAGAACAACAGGCAGAAATGACATGGTTCACCCATAACTAAAACTCCACTGCTTGCAATTAACTTCCACCCCCCAAACCCCCAAAATCTAACAAAAAGAACATATAAACAAAGAAATGAAACCATGAAGCTACAAAAAAATTTGTTGTCCCACAAGGCAAGCATAAGGGACAAAAAAACCAAGACTTAAATCAGTCAAGTTTTGTGTTGGTTATTCTTCAAAGCTCGGAAAAAGTTACTAAAACCTAAAGCTTAGATTCTAGGAAATCTCAAAATTCCCTACCCACAAGGCCACAAAATCAAAAGTTTGAGCATAAAAGGTCTCAAACATTAAACAAATAGATTAACCATTCTTTTACTATTCTAAATAAAAAACATGTTAAGACTATTGAAAGAACCTGGAAGTGCACAACGACATAGAAAAATAGTGATTATTCATGAATGCTTGTATTATGCTTTCTACAGAAATTGATCGAACCTTGGTGGAGTAAACGCGTTCATGAGATTCATCAAGAATTATATTTGTAGCTTGGTCAAAACCTTTTAACACTCCCCGAGGAGAAACTGTAATAGTTAGTACAACTACTCTATTTTTTTAAGAAACTGCAACGAGGCCCAAACTGCAGAACTCACCACTATATTGCGCCCATCATTTGTAATGACAGAAATTGTTTCTACAAAAATAATAATAATAATAATAAATAAGACAGTTTTAGCAAGATAACAAAAGTACACCGCAGAGATCTGGTAATTTAGCAAAGAAAATTTTGGATTCAAGAGAAAATCATAGACCATTCAAGCCACACAAAATCAAATTGCAGAATACATGCCTACTTTCTTTTTTCTTTTTTTTATTTAAAAAAAAAAAAGAAAAAGAAAAACAAGCAATTAAAACAATAGAAGTAGATGATGACATATTAAAACAGGTATAAGGATTGCATACGATCTACAAGGGATTCAAGCCCAGCCCCACTTGACATTTTGTAAACTCCAACAGAAATTACTAGCTGAATGCTTTACCAGACTTCTGGCACACAAAAAATAAAATAAAATCAGCTTACATTTTCTTCAAGAGAACTTGCTGATGGTTCAGATAGAAAGTTCAACATGATTAAAAACAAATGGTATTATTAATAAAAATTAAAAAACCAAAATAATAAACAATAAAGAATAAATAATAATAGTAATAAATGTGATCTGCTTTCACAGGCAATCTACTTATTAGTTCACTTATGCTCTGCACATAGTCACTCCCACCAAAGATATATTTTTTATTTATTTAGAATAGATATTCCATTAACGAAGAAATTAAGTGGAAAAACAAAAGAAAGGAATTAACCAAACCCCAATCAAGAACAAACAAAAGAAAAAAATACTCTTATCTAGACAGCCAATCACTAATCCCTGTAGGCCCTGAAATTAATGACCGGGCAAACCTCTCGTGACTGACTTGAACTCAAGAACTAGGATTTTATCCAAGGGTTTTTACCACTTAGCCAATCCCTAGGGTTAATTGGATGTACATAATTTGAATGCATAAACAATCCCAAGCCTCAAAAGTAAGGGTTTCCACAAGGATCACAACCAGTTTAAAATTCAACCAAACTCTGTATGGAATTTGCATCTTTTTGGGTCCATAACACTATGAAGTGTATCCCCAAAAATGGTCCAACACAAGAAATTTGCAAGGGCAAGCAACAGGGTTTCCTATAGGCAACTGCAAGAGCATTGTGTCAAGGTTTCTAAAGCCAAATGAACAAGGCACACACTTGAAAAGTACATAGAAGAGTCGATAGATGTAAATACTCTTGCAATGCTTCCTAGAATTGGAACACCAAATAAATGGCTCAAAACAGAGCTCGAATATAGGGGGTTCAGGCAGGTTTTGTCAAGGACAAGAAACCTCCTCAACCCATAACAAAACCATCCTCAGCTCTCAAGTCGGATTGCTTAAATCTGAAACCAACAAGTGCGAACACAAAAACCAACCCGCTATCGGGTAAGCAAAAACTGAGAAAGATTGATGGCAATTTAGTTTGGGAATTTTATCGAACACTAGGCGTGTCAAATTCAAAACTGAGTGATTTCTCTGTTCCTACATTTGTGTTGGAGCTGTCAGAGGAAATAAAAAAGAAGAGATTCATACATACCGAAAGAGAGAGAGGCGACCAGACCACTGCTTGGGGTGTTCGTCGATCCCTTTGGCGGGCGATATGAATGGATTGTTGTAAACCATTACAGTGGGACGTAACCGTGACAAGTATGGCTATTTCCAGGGCATGTGTTCGACCTTTCACGCTAGCTTATACTTGTACATCATTCTATCAACAGCTAAAACTATCCTTACCATTAAGGCTGTGTAAAATATCCCATAATCCGTTAAAATTGTATAATTCATATTAATTTTATGTTAATCGTGATTTAAGTTTTAAAATTTATAATTCGTTTTCAAAATCGTTCCGCTCCGCTCCACTATAGTTAATACATATATATTTTTTAACCTATAATGAAATATCAAAATAAAAACAAGTATGAAAGAGATTTAATATGTGAAATTTATTACAAATTAGTAATTATATATATAAAAAATATTATGTAAAATTAGTTTGTGTTATATATATAAAAAAAATTATACAAATTAGTGTTATATATTATACAAATGCTTGATAATTTGTTAGAATATTCTTCAATCCGTCCAAAATTGCTCAAAATGCAATTTGTCAATCTACTAATCCGCTTATTTTTGGGTAACTCTAAATGCACGCCAATTGTTTAAACACTCTAACCAAAAATTTGAATTTTATTTTATTTTTGTTGAATACCCCAAGTCATTTCAATTTTATGCCCATTAACTAATTAGTCGTCATTCGTCATTGGAGTCATCTCGCCGACTAGTCCTATTCCTACTCTGATGTCGCTACTCCACCCATTCCTCTCAAACCCTAACCCCACCACCCACCATCCACCATCACCAACACAGAGAGAGAGAGAGAGAGAGAGAGAGAGAGAGATGGGTCGTTGTGGTTAGAGAGAATGGCAAAGATACCTGATCTAATAGGGTGATTTTGCAGTCGCGAGACACAACTAGCACACGGAAAACAAGTTGCAAAGGGTGGTAGGTGGGTGAGATTGTAACAATCCCGACCCACGATTAATATTAATCCATGATTAATTATGTCTAAACCGTAATTAAGAAAAAGTCCCGAGTCAATTATATATGCATTGCATCATTTTGTGCTTATATCTGTTGAACGTAGGAAGATCTGTTTATGTTTTTAGTTTCGGTTTGCAATTTGAAGGCCTTATCGGCATCTGATACATACATTGATTTGATTCATGTGTTAATTAGAATTTTTAAAACCTTATGGTAGGTTTAATTGAAATTCAATTCAGAACGATTGAATTAGATTAATTTAATGCACATATGATTTATTTTATATAATTACCACCAAGTGAGCCTATGAGACTCCCTACATACTCCACTCATCTCCTTTTTTTATTTCTCAACACATTTTTGAGTTGCACACACACATACAAATGTGAGGGGGAGAGAGAGTAGAGAGGAAATCAAACTTATCAAGAGAATTGCTTGAAATTTAGAGGTATTGAAGAGGACTTGGAGGATTAAGCTACCACACTTGTGAAATCAAGACTTAAGGTAGGAATCCATCCTCTTAATTGTGTAATTGAGTTAATTCATCTATGAATTCAAGTGAATTGGGCAATGAGATGTTATAATCAAGCTTAAGAAGTAAGTTGGAAGACCAATTCATGCATGCATGTACATTTCAATGCATTGAGCGCATGTTACTAGGAATTTCCCTCATGCATGTTTGAAATTCATCTTAATTTAGGGAAATTATCAAGTTTCAAGTTGTTTTGCAGCACTTGATCATGTTTTGAGAAGCTTTGGTTCAAAGAATTGTATGCATGTCATGTTCATGGTTTATTCTTGAATTTCAAGTTGAATTTTGTTCAATTGGCGTATCTTTGGGCCATAATTTCTTAAAATGATCTTTAATCCATGTTGTTTTAAGGGTTTTCACGTATTTTCTCAAGTTTTGGCCCAGAAATATGAAGTTTGATGCTTTGAAAGTTGAGTTTGAACTTAAAGATCAAATCTAGAAATTCTAAAAATTTGATCCACGCTCGAGTGGGGGACTTCACGCTCGAGGAGGGGACTTCACGCTCGAGCGATCACTCTGAATACGTGCACTTCCGCTCGAGCAACATGAGTCACGCTTCAGCGTGAAATGCATGTACCCAGAAGTTCATAAGTTTTATAGTCCGCTTGAGTGGAGGTCGAGCGTCCGTCGAGCGTGAAATTCATGCATCCAGTGCTTTTGCTAAAATTTGCAGTCCGCTCGAGCGAGGGAAGTCACGCTCGGGCGAACCTTCACTTTTTGCATGCCTGCTCAAGCGAGGAAATGCACACTCGAGCGTGGACCCTGTTTTCAACAAGTTTTGAAAGATGTTTTCAAGTGCATATTTGCATCCTTATTCCATCTAAGGCATTCCTAGACCATGATTAAGACCCCATAATAAGAATAATGAGGTAGAAGCACACCAAAACAAGTAAGGGCTAAGCCATCATTTATGGGTGTGTAATTCGAAAATTTTTTGTTTTGTAACTATGTAGGTCAAGCGCCACAAGGAAGTTGAATTTCCTACTTGCGACACCTATTGTCTGTAAATAATAACCTAGTAAAGCTATGTTCAATTCATGTATTTTCTGTATACAAAATAAGATCTGTTGAAAGAAATGCCATGTTTTATGCTATGAATGATTGTCCGATATAACAAGCATCGATGATGCTATGCCATAATTCAAGTATGTTACACGTGACATTATGCTATGATTTAAGTATATTGCAAGTGATATATGCCACGACCCAAGTATGATATAAGTGACTCGTTGTTATAATTCAAGCGTGCTATAAGTTCCTGGACCGGAGGTTCCTTATGGAACTGACAAGCCATTTGTACCCGGCTGGAGGTTCCTAAGTGGAACTAACAAGTTTACAAGTTCCTAGTCTGGAGGTCCCTATATGGGACTAACAAGTTATCTTTACCTGGCCAGAGGTTCTTTAATAGGATTGACAAGTATGATTTGGGGCACTTTGTATGCAATCTATTAACACTAAAGAATGTAATATGTAAGCTTAAGTATGAACTCAGACTTATGTATATATGCATAGAACAAGATTATGAATGAGAACTTTTATTTCAGCTACGGTTATGGGACATCATTCATTACCCCTTTACTTTGTTGTTATTCACTGGGCCTCCGCTCACTAGTTATTTATGTATATAGGTGAGCAGGTTCGAGATCAGGCTTAAGATGATGCCCGGGGTATTTTTGTGGTCAGCCACCTTTTGCGCCTCACAAGGAGGTTCTAGTTCAAATCATGTATTGTGGCTATGTTAATGTAAATGTGCAAGACTATTCCTTTTGTTTTATGAACAAGTTCTCCTTTTGAATGTACATGATGGTGACGTGTAAATACTGTACCTATGACGTCACTCGTATGTTTATAAAGTTTAAGATTTTCAGTTTCATGTATGTTTGCACAGCTCTATGGACTATGTATGTTTTGTATATTTGCTTCCGCAGCCTCTATCTATATACTATGATGTTAAGAGGCCTCTGGTAATCCAAGGATTATTGGTCGGTTACGATACTAAACCTAATAGGACGGGTTTGGGTCGTGACAAAGTGGTATCAGAGTACGTGTTCTACCATACATACGAGTCCATATGAGCTTAGGATGTCCTAGTAAGAAGTAAGGACATTCCATCTGCATGTATAAGTGTGTGTGTGTTTAAAAGTGAAAGCTTAAATTCGACTATAATCATGTGATATGAGGACAAACGATCTAAATAGTATAAGAAGGATTATTGCCTATGTTCATAATGTCCTGTTTACCTATAGCAAATGGACAATGCAAGAAGTGATGAAATGACTGAATCATCTGAGGCTCGTATGAGCCGAATGGAGCAAATGCTCGCAGCTCTAACTGAAGCAGTGGCACAACAACAGAGGCAACAACCCTTACCTCCACTGCCTCCACCGGTGCAAGTCGAATCGGGCAACAATGATAAAATTAATTTAACTCGGAAATTTATGAAAATAAAACCACCGACTTTCTTGGGTGGCATAGAACCATTAAAGACAGAAACCTGGCTGTTAGAAATGGAAAAATTATTCGAAGTATTCCCCTGCTTCGTAACTCAAAAAGTACTCTTGGCCACCTACACCTTAAAGGACAAGGCTCGAAGATGGTGGCTGTTAGTTCGAAATAATAACGGGGACATGACATGGGCACAGTTCAATAAGATATTCTACAACAAGTATTTTTCCTAGTATTTCAGGGATCGGAAAGTGTCAGAGTTTCAAGAACTTAAGCAGGGTAGGATGTCTGTAGCTAAGTATGAAGCCAAATTCATCGAACTAGCTCGGTTTGCTCCACATATAGTGGATATTGATTACAAGAAAGCACAAAAATTTGAAGGCGGACTAGATCTAAAGGTGTTTGACCGAGTACGCATATTGAAATTGCCTACCTATGTGGAAGTTTTTGATAGAGCAATAATGGCAGAGGCCATAATAGTGGCAATGAAACAAGCTAAAACACCAATAACGGAATAGAAAAGCAAAAGGCTTGGATCTAATTTTCGAAAGGGTCGTTCCTTCTTCGTAAACAAAAAGCAAAATACTGGGTCTTCGAGCAGCTCAAACCGGAGTAGCGGATCCATACCAGTCTGTTTAGAGTGTGGAAGGAAGCACAAAGGTGTATGTCAACGTGCTTCGGGTACATGTTTCTGATGTGGCAAAATCGGTCACATGATTAGAGACTTTCCAATAAGGTTTGACAATGTTAACCACCCAACAGCAAGTTCAGCCGGATCTGTTCTTGTAACAAGGGCTAACACTAGAACAAATACCAGAGGCGATGCTGGAAATGAGACACTGAGGCAAGGAAGGGTGTTTGCACTCGTACCTAGAGATGTACAGAATACCGAAATAGTGGTGTCAGGTATAATCCTTATTTGTGCTCAGAATGCCTATGCATTGATTGATTTTGGTTCTACGCATTTGTTTATCTCACATACTTTTTCTCGAAAATTAACTAGACCGATAGAACCTGTGAAATGTTTACTGTTTGTGTCTATACTGTCTGGCAGTTCTATGATATCTGCTTATGTTTATCCAACATGTGATGTTATAATTGGTGATGTGACATTGTATGTGGACTTGCTACCTTTGAGCATTGATCATTTTGACTGTATTCTGGGTATGGATTGGCTA